CGGAATCCACCTGGATTGAACTCAAGGGCACGTCGTGGTGTTATCCAACAACTCTGCAGGATTGGTGTCAGCTCCTCATGAAGAGTACGCGACAACTGGAACGTCTTTCTGGTGTCCGCTTACTTCCGGCGAATCGCACAAAAATGCGAACCTTGGCTCCGCTGGGCTATGACATACCCCGCAAAGGGGTTCAGCTTGCACCAACATGGCACAATCCACACCTTTTGGGGCGACTGCTTCAGCTCACGCTGGCTGACAACTGTATACAACCACTGCTTCGCTTCATTTCCACAGCTGTGGCATCGCCCTCTGTGGACGACGGACTCCTTGTACAGTGGAGTTGCATGCAACCCGCTCAACGCGAGCGGCTTGCGAGGTGGCTGCGTAGTTTACATGTAAATTGACTGACTCGAACAAGGCCCCGCGCACGCGTAAGCTGGCCGGAGCCCCTCAGAGCTGTGAAAAGGTACCATTTTGGGGGTCCCACTAATAAGGATTATAGTATTTTGGGCTCTATATTGAGGTTCCCTATTTGGGAAACTACCATGTATGGCTTTGGCTAGTCAGCTTTGAGTCGAGGAGCTGACTGTCGTATTTGATATGAACCATAATCTAAACTCCTTAAAGGGGGATTATATACGGGATCATATAGGGGAGTATTATGGGGGTTATTAAAGGGGGATGCTAGGAGTTTAGACTATAGCTCATATGCTCCAGGCTGCTGCCTGGGAGCATGCGCTGTCCTTGCTGCAGACTCTTCCAGGCAGGTCATCTCAATATAGAAACGTTCTGATCACCTGCATCAGCTTATGGGACAGAAGTCCGATGTAGTCCGCCATCACTTGGGTAAATGCGAGAAAAATTGAATCCAAAGATATCCTGGAGCAAAAAAAGAAACTACGGCCCAAGATGAGGAGCTCCCGAACAGTGGTCACTCCCAAACAGTTCGAAAGTCTTGCGGGGGACTTGGGAAGTAGCTTAATAGTGGCCACTAGGGATACTGTGTGCGTTATAGTTGAAGGGGTTATTAACCTACGTACTGAGTCCACCACAAAACCCTCCAAGTAGAGATCACTTGGCACAGGCACTTTGCCTCGGATATCCTCATTTGTAGCTCCGCCAACAATCCCAGCCGCCATTAACAAAAAAATGACCATAAACGGTTGTCAAAGTAAAGCATCTTCAGCTAGAGTAATCAATGCGAAGTGTGAAGCTGTTGCAAATCAGTCTGTTGTTGGCAGAGGGGGATTGCTGTGGACAGCCTTATTTGTCAATTTGCACCGACATTCACCTCCATTCCAACTTCGAAATGTCGCTTCCCTGAACCCACAACCACCACATTCCTTCTACATTCCTTTTGCACATCCTCAAAATTGTGAAGCACGACGATCTCTATGCCTATAGGTCCCCACCTGCCTCCTGTGCAACGTTGAATCCAAAACTGTTGAAACGCATCGATACAGGCTGCAGAGCATAGATGGAATGTGGCAGACGCACCTTATGCAAGCTAGCAGTCGTCAACAAACACTTGAAACCTCAAACATGTTCACAAGGAACCGTGAACCACAAAGTAAGTCTAAACCATCCTACGCCTATCTGAGCTATAGTCTAAACTCCTAGTATCCTCCTTTATAGTCCCTATAATACTTCCCGATTATATAACCCCCTTTAAGGAGCTTAGACTTCAGCTCCTAGCCCTCAACCTCCTAACACCAACACGCAGGCGAGACCCTGCTCCCAGACGTCGTGTCTCGCGCCTCAGCCGTGGCAGCCTGCGGCCGCAGCAGACGTTGGACCCTGGCAGTGGCTGGGGACCTGGTCTAACACTCCATTAATGGAGAATCACATGGAAAAGAAAATGGAAAATGCTAAGGGAACTGTGGTTACATAGGGGTTTATAGGGTTCTCGGCCATGGAACCCCTATATTACCCCAATATAACCTTGTATAATAGTAGTTTCCATTTTCTTTTCCATTATCCCATTGGCCTTTTTGGGTTTAGGGTGAGGCTTGAGGGTCTAGAGGCTTGGAGGGGGCAGCACCTATAAGCACCAAGCCCTTCCACTCCCCTGGTACTTGCACTTAAAGCAGGGGGTTTGTGCTGACCCGGGGCGGCATGCGGGGGGCAAAACGAAGTAATGTCATCCTTCGGGTCCTGCGGTTTGGATCCATGGACGCTGTGATAGGGTTTCACACAGCCGCCTAGGTTGTGGGTGTTCGATGTTGGGTTAGTACAATCCGTTGTTGAATTTATGAGGCTTCGTGTCGAGCCTGCGGGGGGTCGTGAAATCAACCAGTCTTCAATCCAAAACCTTGGATTAACTCCGTTTTGGGACCATCGCACTGCTAACTTTGTCAAAGAGCACCTAATGCCCTCTGAATGTGCTGCTGTTTCTAGGCGGCCATAAGTGTAGGGCTTTCTTGGTGAATTAATTGGGAGGTGCAGGGGCCTTGCATGGAACTTTTGTAGGGATCAGGGTTTCTCAGAATCATGGTCGCACAAACAGGGGCGTTCCAGGGACCCACAGTGTGATAGATGCTATAGCAAAAGTAGATGTGCTTGTTCCGGCTTATTTCGGGATGATATGTCGGTTTGAGACGTTTATGGGTGCTAAATCAAGGACAATAGGATTTTGGGATGCGCTGCAAGGGAAACGACGATATTTGGAATGACACAGCGAAGTCCCTTTAGAGGTTTTGTCGAACCTTGCCGGGATGAAGGTTTGTTAAATGATGGGCCCTTTTTAGGGTCGTTGCACTGAGGATTGTTTTGGGCAACATCAGGGGTTCCTTATTAAGTTAGGGAGTTTCCCTTTAGGGGCGGCTTCACAGAGCTTCAACCCTGTCACATTCTGAAATGCCAGAGGTCGAGACATTTAGGCGTTAATTAATCAGATCACTCTTGCAGCTTTTTAGAGTGTAGGGTTTATAGGGTTTAAGCATGAATCAGATCGTTCTTGCAGCTGTTTAGGGTACCCTAGTAATTGTGAGGTGCGACCCCATTTGGGGCTGCTAGTAAGGGTCCTCATAGAGTGGGAAGCAACCTGATAGTTTCCACTGCTAGCAAGTGCAGTGTGCACCCGCCAGAAACCAGCAGCCGCAACTTAACTTTGGGTCTTTTTATGGGTGTTTCCCCAAAAGTTGGGGTACCTTATTCTGGGATCCCTATAATGAGGATGAGCGTATTACTGGGGGAAACTACCAGGTAGCCCAAGTGATACAAAGAATGACCAAGTTACTGGGAATGAAGTGGCAGGAGCAACAGGATTTACTGTCCCGACTAAGTTTGCCTTTGTATGCAGAGGCATTGCTTGCCGAGTCATTCGAACGAGACATGGCCTCGCAGGCACAGGGTCAGAGCTGTTTAAAGGCTAATATTTAGGGGTTGATGTTGAATTTGGCTGACTGTCTGTTTATCACAGTTATCGGGAAGCTAAGCAAGGAGTTCTCAAATCTCTTTTCAGGGGAGCAATGGGCCTGCGGTGGATGCAACCACGACCGGACAAGTTTCTCAACATTCAGTCCTACATGTGTCGGACGTCCAAGTAGTATGATGTTGCAGGCTTTCTAAAGCCATGTGCGTTGGAGTCCTTCGCAAGGGAGAGATTGTCAGAGTCGCCAATCAGACAAGCACAATCCCTCCAGACTCTAGCAGTGCTTTCACTTTTAGGCTGGTGTCGGTGCTGCAATGGCAGCTGCGGCAGGAGAGGGCGAGTGGCAGGTGTGGGTGTGTGAAAGCTTGAGACTGGGGTTCAGGTCTGAATTGTAGGCTCAGATCGAACTAGAAAGTGGGCTGTTGGTTTGAATCTGCTATGAAAAATGGGTCCCTCTCTCTGCAACATATGACAAAGTCGCAGTACCGCTGCATCCACATGGATCCGCATAGGCAGGGGTCGTCTTCCTCTGGGGATGCCAGCCAAGTTTAGAGGTTGCGTGGTCCCTCTTGGCCGAGCTTACGCTGCGAGAAATGCAGCCAGATGTGATGAGCAGCTCGGATGCTAGTTTTCATATGGAGCAGGCTTTCATGTCAGGGAGATTACTATGGAATGCTGTTCATTTCCACAGCGCCTATTGGAGATCGGAGTCTAAACGGGCGAGCCGAACTTGTACCGGCCTGCTTCTCAAGAACAAGCGGTTCAATGTAGATGGTCTGATGCACGAACAGACGCACAACAAGACCGAGTCGAGCCAGGTGCTGGCGATTCTTTTCTTGCACAGGTCACGATTGCCCACACACATCCCTCCCTGCCTTCTTCTTTCAGGCTACACGCAGGTCCTGAGCTCATTGGAGGGCTCCAGCTGCTGGCAAAAGGCCATGGGCTTGAAATGTAGTTGCAAGCAACTTGCAAGATCTGCAGCTATGCTTTGGGCCTGCAATTCTTGAGCTGTGGAGGCGCTGTCCTTGCTCTTCAGCGCCGAGGAATGCGGGATGAGCAACGAGAAAAGACTCTTGGATGGCAATCGGACCCAGCTGCACAAGCTGGTGTTTGTGAGCGCAGTGGGCAGTCATGTTTTGATGATAGAGATGGGGGTTCCCCAAAGTTAGGGGTACCTTTCTGGGGGGCCCATAATTAAGGAATATAGTGTATTGGGTTTTATACCGCAATTTCTGCCCCCGTGCTGCCCGCAAGGCTACACCGCCGCAATGCGAGCGTGCGCGGGCGAGTGGCAGTGGGCCCTGGCACTTTTTTCACGAATTCCAAATCCGGACAGGCGCGGCAAGGGCGGCTTGTGAGGGGCTACGGTTTGAGTTGCGAGGTTTAAAGATGTGGGAGGCAGCATTGGCTGCTTGGAAGGCCTCCTTTAAAGACACTAGCCAGCTTTTTTCATGTCCCTGCGCTGTTCTTATGTCAGCTGCAGTGCCTGCCTAAACCCGTTGAGCTTGTTTTTGTTGTTCTCGATTTTGCCCAGATGCTTTGGGTCGCGACGTGTAGCGGTTGTCGAACGGACTTTGCAGACATATCATTTGTGTAAAGCCCCCTGGGGGTTACCCATTGCCAGGCGCGCCTTCAACGTGGCGCTGAACTCCTGTGCGAGGGCTTCGGAGCGCAAGGTGCGCCGCGGGGTCTGATGAAGTGGTGTTTGGTTCTGGTGTGTTCAAGTACAGTGTCAGTATCGTAGACAGATTTTGTTGAGGTTGCCTTTACTTCAAGAAACGTGCAGTGCTCGTCCGGGATCATTTGGGTAGCCTACTCTAGGTCACTTTTGAGAAGCTTCTGCATAATCCCAGTCTCCATGTGATTTTCCATTGCCTTTTCCATGTGCTTATCCGATATCGGGGATACTATGCCCTGAGCCCTGTCTAACCACTATATCTCATATAGCCATGCACAACTTTACATTGTCCCTATATAATCCCTTGTGATCCCTTCTTACGTCTTTTTCGATGCCTGTCTCCTTCAGGCAGCCTTGGCGCTCCTTCGGCAGATGCCATCTCCAGATACCGTGAGCCCCGAGCCCGTTGAAATCTGAAAGCTTCCTTAGGGAGATAGAGGGCTACTTAGGGTATAGAGAGAAAATAAAGGGGTTTCACAATCTTATCCCCAATAATAGAGTACCAGATAAAACAAGAGCATGGAACATGAAATGGAGCATTAGGGTTCTGATTGGCCTCAGAGGTGTTAACCCTAAAGCTTAAACCCAACCTCCTCATAAAGTAACCGCCTGTGGGTCTCGCTCAGGCTACAACTCAGCCTTGGCCGCGTGCGCGGGCACTGACGGGTGGACTGAGGCTTGCCAACATTGCTTCCGCTGCGTTGCTACTCCTTCTGGAAACTTGGGGCATATAGGATAATGTAGTATATTGGGGGTTGGAAACTACTATTTGGGGTTTGGGGTTAAGGGATATGGGTACCCATTGGGGTAACATCTTCGTTTCCATCAGGAAGAAAAGGCTGAAACGCCTGATGCGCACGCACGCGACACTCCAACAAATTTGAAGAATCAGTTTCATACTGAAGCCTAAGCACCCTGAACCCTCGAGATTTCCGCAACATTTGCGGGGCAGGCTCTTGCATTGCTTGATGAACTGGACCAGAGAGCGGACTGGGCTCCGCATGGGGCTGCTGCCTTTGTATATTGGGGGTTATAATGGAGAATCAAATGGCAAATAACATGGAAACTGAACTGGAAACTGGGGGAATATAGGATAGTAGTAATATTGGGGTTTATATGGGGGTTATAAGTTGTAAATACACGCAGTTTGGTAGTACAAAGTAGGTAGTTCAACGGCTGTGGTTTCACGCATGCTCCAAGAAGCATAACCCGATTATTTGGCTCAAGGAAATTGTGAGCGTAGCTGTTTGCTTGCTTTTCCTCTTGTACACACTTGTTG